TTATTTAGTATTAACCCTTGTGTCTTATGTACTGTCATTGCAAAACAATTTTGTAAAGGAAACTGGATATGACTTGCATAGTTTCCATTAACAAAAAAATAATTCACTTGTATTTTTATTTCAATGTCTATAATTTTGCTATGAGCACAAAAAGCAACTTGTACAGACATTTATTTCAAATTTATATCCAAAATTACACCAATTGTACCATTACATATTCCAAGATTAATTAAGCTATTATTTAAATACATTACATGAACACCTTGTTGTAATCTTACTGAATGAAGTAGATGTATGTGATCTAAAACTCTTTTGTGATAATTTAGAATCTCATTTTTCATTATTTATATAATCCATTGATTCTGAATTAAAAATTTATTTTCTTCTATAAGTAGCATTTTACAAATTAAATTATTTATTTTCTCAGCTGTATTTTTAAAACTTACAAAGTTTGCTGTATTTAATATTTTTCAATAGGTTTTTAAGAATTATATTCTAAATGTTTTTCTTTTAATTTATTCCATGTTTGATCAGAAATTTTTCCATAATTTTCTTCTGAGTTATTCCAGTTATAGGTTGTTGATAATTGTGTTGTTGATTTTATAGGTGTTTTTTATTGATAATCTGGTAAGTAATTAATATCCAAAATATCAACAATAATCTGACTATTAGGATTAATATTTAATTCAGCACAAACAAGTAAATGTAAATTTTCATTCAAATTATTTGTTTTATTATACAACCTTTGATCAATATTTAAAAACCTATAATTTATTTGATATTCTTTATCCTCTACACCTTTTATCTACTCTTTGACTTTTAATTCAATTTGACAAATTTTATCTGTTTTTTTTAATTTTTGATATTATACCAGTCAGATAGATGTTTAATGTACTTATATGTAAATTTTGAATTAAAATTTTGGTTTTTTTTATTAAGACAACAATTATCTATAATTTTATTATATTATTATAAATTTATTATTATAATGACTAAAATTAATACAAAAAATATAAAAAACTTACTTTTTATTTCATTTGATTTTGAAAATTCAGTTAAATTAACTTTCCCAGATATTTTATAAATCGTATCTTTTGTTATCTTATCAAAAAATGAAGGTATTGATAGATTTTTATTATAAAATATAATTAAATAGAGATTAAAAGTATCATTTATGTTATCATTGTTTTTTTCCACTCTTGTAATAGCATTAGCTTCAATAACTGTGAAATTGTTTGTTTCTTTAATGCTAATAGTTGAATCAATTAAACAAATAGTAGTTAATTTAAATGGCATTTTCTTAAAAAAAAGTTTTATTTTGAATAATATAAAGTTTTTTTTAATAGTTAATAGACTAAATTAATGATTTTTTTAAATATTTTAAAATGATTTTTTTAGTTAGTTAGTATTAACATTAGTTCAAAATTAAAATATTTAAAAAATAAAAAAATTTTTTTTTATTTTTTTAGAATATATAATAATTTGTTTTTGTTATATATAATTAATTTTTTATCTAGAAGACTACAATTGATTTGTACACTTTATTACATGATTTTTTCAAAAAAAATTTATTTTACTGTTTTTAGAAAAAATATAATTTAAAATATAAATAATAATACTTTAATATTTTCTAAGAAATAAATAATTTTCTAAAATAATCAATAAATCTCAAATCTCAAGATATAATTTCATATAGTTTTTTTTTTAGCAATAAATAACAGCTTAAATAAAAATATCATCTATTTTTTTAGAAATTTTTAAAAAAAATAAATAATAATTTTTAAAATAAAATCTGTTTTACAATATTTTATTTTTTTTAGAAATAATATTTCTCTAAAATAATTTATTTATTTGTTTACCTGTTTTTTTTAGTAATAATTTTATTTTTTTCTAAAATATCAATTTCGAAATTAAAAAAAAATTTTTTTTTTATAAAATAAAATCTGTTTTACTATTTTAAAAATAATAACTCTTAAATAATTTTATTTATTTGTTTATCTGTTTTTTAGGTACTGTAATAAAAATTTCATATGATTTTATTTTTTTTTGCTAAAAATATCGATTTTGAAAAAATGCATATTTTTTTTCTAAAAATAATTTTTAATAATTTCACATTATTTTGTTTTTTTCTAAAAATATCAATTTAGATGATCCTTTTTTAGTGTTAAAAAATAGTGATATTTCAATTTTTTAATTTAAAAATATTTTTTTATTTATAAAACTAAAAAACTAAAAAAAGAAATATACATATATTTATAGATATTTTTTTTTTAGTTTCTATTTATATTTAATTTTTTATTTATTTATAAAAAGATAATATACATATATATAAGATAGGTTCATAGTTTTTTATGCAAACAATTTCCTTATTTGTAATTCTTTGGTCAAGATTGACAAGAATTTTAATACAAACATTAATTTTTTTATTATAAAAACTGAACACAGACTTTTCATCCATTCTTATCATATCGTTAATCATATCGTTAATAATAATAAATTGGCAAATGACAAATAAAAAATTATTATACACTAGATTTTTTTGATGACTTTTAAAACTTCGTAATCAGTAATAGAAAATAATTCAGTATTATTTTTTCTGATTGATTTTTCATAAAATTTCGGGTAGTCACACAGACTAAGACTATCTTTAGTAAAATCAAATTCATATGATCTCAACATGAATTCAGCCTTTCCAAATCTTGGGCCTACTTCATTTTTATGACAATGAAAATGTAAAGCATTATTTTTATCTTTAACTCTACTGAGAATTGGATTTCCACTTTTAAATGAAAATATGAAACTGCCATCTGCTTTAAAATCACCAACTTTTGTTTTATCCCAAGCTATTGGATTAAATCCACCAATAATTTCCTCCGTTCCCTTAACTTTAGAGATCACAATTGTATTGGCATGCCCATGACTAATTTCCCAAAACGTTCTCGGCGCAAATCCGACTACACTTCCTCGAAGAATTAATTTAAACTCATAAGGATTATTCGTTAAAGAATAACTTGTTGGTTTATGATCAATCCATGACGAAATTAATGCTGCATGTTTTTCATTAATAATAGTTGAAAATGGTTTGTTTTCTCTTGTTTTGTTTTCTTGGAAATTTACTCTTGGTGATGGCTTAGGGACTAAGTTTATTCTTGGTGGTAGTTCTTGAGTTGTCTGCACTCGCGGTGGTAGAACAATAGATGATAATGGTCGATCTGGAAGAATAAGGTGATATTTCAAATCATCCCACAATTGTTTGCCGAGAATTTTCTTATATGGCTTAATTTTATATATAACATCTTCATTTGAAATGTGAAAATAACGAATAAGTGGCAAGCATTGTTTTAGAGTTGTTTTTAAAGTCGTAAAGTTTTCGTCAGTCCATTCTTCCAATTTCTTGGGTAAATTAGGATTCTGTGCAACTCCCCACATAATTACATGATCCCAAATTTCTGATTCTTTCATTTGTAGGTCATCACGTTCCAAAATAGACACCAAGGTAGATTCATGAAGAGAAGTGAATTCTGTTGATTCAAAAATAAGTTTTGGATTTTTAACAATTATTTCATTATAAAATTTTTTTAAATAATTGAATTTGTTATTTATAAAAATTGAATGATAAACTAAGGAGAAATGAGTTTTTAACCAAGAGGCTTCGAATTCAAGAAGATGCTTTTCTAATTTCATAGATAATTCCTCTAACTCAAATTCATCAGCCGCGATCATCAACTTATAAATAATCTCAGTATCAATATTTTCTGTGTCAATAATTCCGTAGTAGATATATCTATACAAAATTATATAATTGTTATATTATAGAAAAATACTTTGTTAATACATAATAATTAAATTAAAAGTTAACAAAATTATATAAATCTTACTTGAGAATAATCTCAAATACTTGAGCAGGAATATTTTGTAAATTAATAGTTTTAATAATATTATTATTGCTTAATTTTTTATTAAAGTATGATGATCGATAACGTAAGATGACCGAGTGCGCGGTGAAGGTTTTTTTATTTGGTCCATTATTAACTTCAATAATAACATTGGATTCTTCTTTATCATTAAGAAGTTCTGTTAAGTTTTGAGTTAACTTGTCTAAAAATAAATATTTCATTTCTTTTTTTTAGAATTAAAAGATTTCAAATACAAATTTAAAGATGAATATTAAATATTTTATGTTGTAATACAAATTCTACTTGTGATTTGTCACATAGTAATACATTTATGAAATGGAGGTCCAGAGCTAAATTTAACCTTTTTTCCATTTCGTGTCGCGAAAATCTTCCCAAAAAGAGTCTCAGGGGCAAGTGTTTTGGAAATCTTTTTCACTTTTACTACTGTGTACATAGTATTCATCAATTAGATGAAAGCATATCGTGCCGTGACTTCGCCTTGACTTCACCGAAAAAGGAATAGCAAAAGGCGAGAATTCTATACTAGGATAATTATGGTATGGTTTAAAGAAAATTATGTTTCACTATGGTCACATGTAAAATTTGGCACCCCAAGGGATGGATGACAACTGCGCCATATTATTAGCCCTCGCATTGAATCTAAGTTAGTCCAGAAGAACTATATTAATCGGGGTCTTACAATTTTTACATTTGGCACAGTTATATATGACTTTTTAAAAGTGTCCGCAGCTAGACGGTGTGAGAAAATAGTAATTCTTTATTAAATATTATAATTATAAAATTCATGAGCGACTAATGAGCGAAATAACATCTGCAAAAATAATATTAAATAATATTAAATAATAAAGACTTTACTTTATAATTTCGAATAGAAGTATCATCTAAATCTGTCTGTTAGTTAACAAAAATACCTATAATTCAGAGATATACATCAAGAAATACAATAGAGATTCAGTATATAAAAAGATACTATATCATTTTAAATTCTTTTAATATTCTTCAAACCTTTATCTCATTCGTTCAAGGTATATATTTACTCCAATATCGACTAACAAATAAGGTGTTATTTAAAATTTTGGCGAGATGGTCATTAAATGTGTATTAGTCCGAATCATATTATCAATGTAAGTTTCATTATTTGCACAGCTGAACATCATAAGCCACTGAAATTTATTTAAAAATATTTCGATGCAAGTACAATTATCAGTGGTCTCGATAAAAAAAAATTTTTTAAATATGCACAACTTCGTTAATATCATTAAAGAATATATGTTAAAATACAATCGTGTCGTGAGATTATTCCAAAGCAATTAATCATAATTTTATATTGATATATATAAGTAATAGTGATAGCATCGAACGAACAATAAATTCAATTCTTATTCATGACAAGTTTAAGTAGAGCGAAAACAACCCTAACTGACTAATTTTTTTTAAAAAAAAAAGTCTGTCAGCTACTAAACAAAATTATCCTTTTACAATAATAATCAAAGATCTCTTTACTTGGTTGATTTTGGAAATTTTCTACCAGAAATAAGTCATACTTTGCAATCTAAATATCGCTTGATTATTTTTTTTACAGATTAGAAATAAACCAATTTTATCGTCAATTCTCTGACATTCAAAGTCGGGTGATCAATATCACAAGGTCGGTAGGAGAAGGATTTGTGGTGGGAGCAATGAATAAAATTTTAGTAGTCGCGGTAGGAGAAGTAATGATTTTATAACAGTATTCTTCGCATTTGGTCTTAGTTACAGTACTATAACATTTGTGATGGTTAAGGTATTAAGTGTTGTGCGCTTTGATATTCAATGTTACGAAACAAAGAAAAACAAAGAAAATTCACATAGAAAATGAATTTTGCATTGTAATGCCAAGAATTAAGGTATCAGAAATTTTTTTTTAGGAAAACTGTTGGAAAGTCTTATATATCAATAATTGCAATTTTATAAGCTAATTAAAACCCATATTACTTCGTTTATGTCATAACACATATTAAAATTATTTGTATGTTTACTACTTATTTTATACGGTTATTGCTTTCGTTAGCATAACAAACGCAAGTTAAAAAGGTAAGCGAAATCTTTTATTATTCTGTTACCCGAAACCTGAGCACCAATGGGTTTATCATTGGGACTAATAATATGGTCTTTTAGATAGTCACAATAGATATCATTGGCGCTATAAAAAAAATATTATTATTGAGGTCCTAGTAGTACACCTTTTCTTATGTCATGTATGATCTTATCTGGGTAAATTTGAATTTTTGGCAAATTTTGTTCTCAGCATTCTTGGTGGTTAAAATTCATGGTGAAAATATAAAACTTCTTTTTCATGCATTTCTTATTGAATTTAAAATAAAATATAAAATCATATAATTTTAAATATATTTAAAAATCCAAGATCATTTGGAAACTTTGAAATTAGAATATCCCATTTTAAATGAAATGATCGATAACTCAAATAACAATGTTGGACGTTTATTGGGAAACTATGGAAATAAAATTTTAGTTTATTTATAAATCATATATGTAAAATTCTTATTGAATTCAATATTCTCTAATTACATTATTTAATGAAATGAAGTCATGTACATGCAAATAAGTTTATATCTTTTCACGTCAACAACATTAGAATCCAAATTAAAATTATCAGATGAAATAATTTTAAATTTATATTTTTTTAATACAGAAATTAACGTGATATAATAATAATAAATTAACAAATGACAAATAAAAAAAATTATTATACATTAGATTCTGACGACTTTTAAAACTTCATAATCAGTAATAGAAAAAAATTCATTATTCTTTTTTCTAAGTGGTTTTTCATAAAATTCCGAATTTTGACACTGACTAAGACTATCCTTAGTAAAATCAAATTTACATGATTTCAACATGAATTCGGCCTTTCCAAATCTTGGGCCTACTTCATTTTTGTCATAATAAAAATGTAAAGCATTATTTTTATCTTTATCTTTAACTCTACTAAGAATTGAATTATTTTTATCTTTAACTCTACTAAGAATTGAATTTTGAGAATTACCATCTTTAAATGAAAATATGAAACTGTTATTTGCTTTAAAATCACCAACTTTTGTTTTATCCCAATCTGTTGGATTAAATCCACCAATAATTTCCTTTGTTCCTTTAACTTTAGAGATCACAATTGTATTGGCATGCCCATGACAAATATCCCAAAACGTTCTCGGTGCAAATCCGACTTCACTTCCTCGAAGAATTAATTTAAACTCATATGGATAATTCTTTGAAGAATAAAAATAACTTGTTGGATTAAAATCAATCCATGATGAAATTATTGCTTCATGTTTTTCATTAATAATAGTTGAAAATGGTTTGTTTACTCTTGTATGGTTTTCTTGGAAATTTACTCTTGGTGATGGCTCCGGAGTTAAATTTATTCTTGGTGGTAGAATCATAGATAAAAATTGTTGATCTGGAAAAATAAGGTGATATTTCAAATCATCCCACAATTGTTTGTCGAGAATTTTCTCATATGGCTCAATTTTATCCTTAACATCTTCATTTGAAATGTGAAAATAACGAATAAGCGGTAAGCATTGTTTTAGAGTTGTTTTTAAAGTTGTAATGTCTTCGTCAGTCCATTCTTCCAATTTCTTGGGCAAAGCAGGATTTTGTGCAGTTCCCCACTTAATTACATAATCCCAAATTTCTGATTCTTTCATTTGTAAGTCATCACGTTCCAAAATAGACACCAAGGTAGATTCATGAAGAGAAGTGAATTCTGCAGATTCAAAAATAACATTTGGATATTTAACAATGATATCATTACAAAAATTTTCTAAATTTTTAAATTTGTTATTCATGAAAATTGAATGATAAACTAAGGAAAAATGGGTTTTTAACCAAGAGGCTTCGAATTGAATAAGATGACTTTCTAACATTTTTGATAATTCCTCTAACTCGAATTCATTAGCGGCAATCATCAACTTATGAATAATCTTTGTATCAATATTTTCTGTGTCAATAATTCCGTAGTAGATATATCTATATAAAATTATATAATTGTTACATTATGAAAAATACTTTGTTAATGCATAATAATTAAATTAAAAAAAAACAAAATTATATAAAGTCTTACTTGAGAATAATCTCAAATACTTGTGCAGGAATATTTTGTAAATTAATAGTTTTAATAATATTATTATTGCTTAATTTTTTATTAAAGTATGATGATCGATAACGTAAGATGACTGAGTGCGCAGTGAAAGTTTTTTTATTTTGTCCGTCATTAACTTCAATAATAACATTGGATTCTTCTTTATCATCAAGAAGTTCTATTAAGTTTTGAGTTAACTTGTCTAAAAATAAATATTTCATTTTTTTTAGAATTAAAAGATTTCAAATACACAATATTAAATATTTTATGTTGTTGTACGCAAATTCTATTTGTGATTTGTACCACATTTGTTGCATAAATAATAAACTTACCCATTTTTTTTACTTTTGCGCCTATGCCATTTATAGAAACAATTACATTCGCAAAATTATGATAAGTTTTTTAAAAATAATTAATATTATTATGATTCAATCCAATTTAGATTTATTAAATATCTGTCAGAAGACAACTGCGTCATATTATTAGCCAATCAACTTTAAGTCTAAGTTAATCCAGGAGAACTATATTAATCGGGTCTTACAATTTTTACATTTGGTACAGCTACTGTATATATGACTTTTTGAAAGTGTCCGCGACTAGATTGTCCGAGAAAATAGTAATTCTTATTCAAATATTATAATTATAAAATTCATGAGCGATTTGTTAGCGAAATAACATCTGTAAAAATAATATCAAATAATATTAAATGATATTAAATAATAATTTCGAATAGAAGTATCATCTAAATCTGTTTGTTAGTTAACAAAAATACCTAGAATTTAGAGATATACATGAAGAAATACAATAACCTTTATCTCATTCGTTCAAGGTACATGTTGACTCCGATATACAAATAAAGTGATTTATCACTTAAAATTTTGGCGAGATAGTCATTATTTGCTCAGCTGACATCATAAGCCAATGAACTTCGCTAATATCATTAAAGAATACATGTTAAAATACAATTGTGTCGTGATATTATTCCAAAGTAATTAATTATTATGTTATAGTGATAGCATCGAAAGAACAATAAATTCATTTTTATTCATGACAAGTTTAAGTAGAACGTAAACAACCATAACTGGCTAATTTAAAAAAAAAAAGTCTATCAGCTACTAAACAAAATTATCTCTTTACAATAATAATCAAATAACTCTTTACTTGGTTGATTTTGGCAATTTGCTACATCTAAATATCGCTTAATTATTTTTTTTACAGATTAGAAATATCGTCAATCCTCTGACATTCAAAGTCGGGTGATCAATATCTAAGGTTGGTAGCAGAAGGATTTGTGGTGGGAGAAGCAACGAATAAAATTTAGTAGTCTCAGTAGGAGAAGTAATGAAAAAGTTTTAATTTTATAACAGTATTCTTCGCATTTGGTCTTAATTTGTGATGGTTAAGGTATTAAGTGTTGGACGCTTTGATATTCATTGTTACGAAACAAAGAAAAACAAAAAAATTAACATAGAAAATGCATTTTGCGTTGTAATGCCAAGGATCAATGTATCAAAAGATATTTTTTAAAAAAAATTTTGGGAAGTCTTAAATAACAACAATTACAATTTTATAAGCTAATTAAAACCCATATTACTCTGTGTACGTCACGTCATAACACATTAAAAATATTTGAATTTTTACTACTTATTTTATACGGTTATTGTTTTCATTGCATAACAAACACAAGTTAAAAAGGTAAGCGAAATCCTTTATTATTCTGTTACCCGGAAACCTGAACACCAATGGGTTTACCATTGAGACTAAAAATATGGCCTTTTAGATAGCTACAATAGATATCTTTGGCATTGTAAAAAAAAATATTATTATTGAGGTCCTAGTAGTACACCTTTTCTTATGTCATGTATGATCTTATCTGGGTAAATTTGAATTTTTGGCAAATTTTGTTCTCAGCATTCTTGGTGGTTAAAATTCATGGTGAAAATATAAAACTTCTTTTTCATGCATTTCTTATTGAATTTAAAATAAAATATAAAATCATATAATTTTAAATATATTTAAAAATCCAAGATCATTTGGAAACTTTGAAATTAGAATATCCCATTTTAAATGAAATGATTGATAACTCAAATAACAATGTTGGATGTTTATTAGGAAACTATGGAAATGAAATGTTAGTTTATTTATAAATCATATATGTAAAGTTCTTATTGAATTCAAATATCCTCTAATTACATTATTTAATGAAATGAAGTCATTTACATGCAAATAAGTTTACATCTTTTCACATCAACAACATTAGAATCCAAATTAAAATTATCAGATGAAATAATTTTAAATTTATATTTTATTAATACAGAAATTAATGCAATATAACTAGAGTGGTGGGTAACAGACCAATAACCACCACCACCACTACCATTTTGTATCTTTTTTGTTAAAATTGATAAGACTTTTATTACAAAAACTGATTAATTAATAATTATTTATTATTATTTTGTATTACATTATTAATGATAAATTTTCAAGGTGCTGATATTCTTTAACCATCTCCTGATCTATAATGAATGCAGATTTTGAAAGGGTAGGAATTTGAATGTTATCCCATGAAGGGCAATGACTTAAAGC